AACTCCACGCCTCTTGCCAAGACCCTCGCATTTACTTCTCTTACAACCCCATCTATAAATATATTAAACAACCACGGTGACATCACACATCCTTGTCTAAGGCCTACTTTTACTGGGAAAAAATTTCCCTCTTTCCTACATACTCTAACTTGAGCCTCACTATCCTCGTAAAAACTCTTCACTGCTTTCAGTAACCTACCTCCTACACCATACACTTGCAACATCTGCCACATTGCCCCCCTATCCACCCTGTCATACGCCTTTTCCAAATCCATAAATGCCAAAGACCTCGCATTTACTTCTCTTACAACCCCATCTAATAAATATATTAAACAACCACGGTGACATCACACATCCTTGTCTAAGGCCTACTTTACTGGGAAAAAATTTCCCTCTTTCCTACATACTCTAACTTGAGCCTCACTATCCTCGTAAAACTCTTCACTGCTTTCAGTAACCTACCTCCTACACCATACACTTGCAACATCTGCCACATTGCCCCCCTACCCACCCTGTCATACGCCTTTCCAAATCCATAAATGCCACAAAGACCTCTTTAGCCTTATCTAAATACTGTTCACTTATATGTTTCACTGTAAACACCTGGTCCACACACCCCCAAAACCTTTCTAAAGCCTCCTTGTTCATCTGCTATCCTATTCTCCGTCTTACTCTTAATTCTTTCAATTATAACTCTACCATACACTTTACCAGGTACAAATCAACAGACTTATCCCCTATAATTTTTGCACTCTCTTTTATCCCCTTTGCCTTTATACAAAGGAACTATGCATGCTCTCTGCCAATCCCTAGGTACCTTACCCTCTTCCATACATTTATTAAATAATTGCACCAACCACTCCAAAACTATATCCCACCTGCTTTTAACATTTCTATCTTTATCCCATCAATCCGGCTGCCTTACCCCCTTTCATTTTGCCCACTGCCTCACGAACTTCCCCCACACTCACAACTGGCTCTTCCTCACTCCTACAAGATGTTATTCCTCCTTGCCCTATACACGAAATCACAGCTTCCCTATCTTCATCAACATTTAACAATTCCTCAAAATATTCCCCCCATCTTCCCAATACCTCTAACCTCCATTTAATAACTCTCCTCTCCTATTTTTAACTGACAAATCCATTTGTTCTCTAGGCTTCTTAACTTGTTAATCTCACTCCAAAACTTTTTCTTATTTTCAACAAAATTTGTTGATAACATCTCACCCACTCTCTCATTTGCTCTCTTTTTACATTGCTTCACCACTCTCTTAACCTCTCTCTTTTTCTCCATATACTCTTCCCTCCTTGCATCACTTCTACTTTGTAAAAACTTCTCATATGCTAACTTTTTCTCCCTTACTACTCTCTTTACATCGTCATTCCACCAATCGCTCCTCTTCCCTCCTGCACCCACTTTCCTGTAACCACAAACTTCTGCTGAACACTCATATTATAAATTGCCTACTGCAAAAGGCAATGAATGTTGAGGGCTTGACCTTAACTGGCAGCTGACCTGGACACGAATAATGGACAACAAACTGGGACACGAACTGTGTAGTATAATTTCGCAGAGGCACCATACTACAAAAAAAAAAAAACATTGGCAGTTTATTTAAAAAAAATCGGCGATGAAATTCCTGCCCC